ACTCCACGGCGCATGCGCATAACACGCTGGCCGAACCGCACACCCTCCCTGCGGGAAGGCGCCAGCCAGGACTATTGCACGAGAAAAAGAGCCAAAAGAGGAAGCAGGAACAATAAAACCGGCCAAAGAAGCAAAGAGCCCAAAAAAAGGGAACCCAAACGGGCGACAAGTAGCCCAAACGGGCGACAAGTAGCCCAAACGGGCGACAAGTAGCCCAAACGGCCGACAAGTAGCCCAACCGGGCGACAAGTAGCCAACCGGGCGACAAGTAGCCCAACAGGGCGACAAGTAGCCCAACAGGGCGACAAGTAGCCCAACAGGGCGACAAGTAGCCCAACAGGGCGACAAGTACTAGGAGCCGACAGACGTTCCAATAATGCGGGAAGTAGCGAAAAACCTTCCCGTACCCTCGAGAACACAGAAGCCAACACTAGTCCCGAAGGCACACGAAGGCGCAGGCGCACCCGAGATCAAAAGTCACGCAGAACCCCATCGAACGGGGAAACATGACAAAAACACCGTCCCAAAAAGCGGGGGAGGAAACATCCACCCACAGGACGGAACCAACCGACTCAAAGGCCAAGGAACCGAGCCCGGGGAGGGGCCGACGTCCAACAGCACGTACGGCGAGTGGGGAGGAAAGACCCCACTCCGCGTAACCACAAGCCCCGCCGAGAGGGGGATAAAACCCCCACGGGGTCTAACGGGGCCAAGGCCCCCCCAAGTCAGCCCCTCCCCAGCCCCGGGAACCTACACGACAGGCCCCGGGGCCGAGCCGTTCCCCCAAAGCCCCGGCCGTACCAGAAAACCGGGGCAGCCGTGAAAACACTAAGGAAGGGAGCCCACTGGCAGACTCATACAACACGGCTGGAGGAACAGGCCCAAATGCCCCCGTCACTACCCCGGAAGGGGAATTCCCCGAGACTGCCCGAGTCTCAAAACCACCAAACACCCCGCCCTGAACCTACAGACGGTAAGGAACCGGATACAGGCAGGAAGGGGAACCAGGGGAAAGACAAGGGGGCGTGGATGGAACCGAAGCAACCAACACCCCCAAGTCCCAAAACGAAATACAACGGGGCAGCCCCGGGGCTCCCGGGGAGGAAACCACGAGAACGTTGCCACCACCAAGGCTCAAGTGCAACGCCCCTGCTGCCCGCACCCGCTTTGTTAGCACAACTGGGTAACCGAGCCACAACGAGCAACCAAACTCAAAGGACACCGGGTCGAAGGTGACACCGACCCCACAGGCAGCAGACGGAGGCAAAACAGAGAGTCACCCAGAGACAAAAGGTGAGAGCAACCCTCAAACTCGCTGGAAGCGAGAGGGGGCTCTGGGGTCACATCCATCGGACCCGCGCGCCCCCAGGGGTTTCCCAGGGTCCCGAGCGTTTACTTTAAGAGGACTCGCGCTCAGGTAATCCCAGGCAGGGTACTGCTAACCGGCACCCAAGCTACCAAACAACTTTCTAAGAGCTGAACCCCCGGGACGTGTACACTCACGGGGACCTAGCAGGGGGTACCACCAGAAATACTCAGAACACAAGGGACACAAGGGGCAAGAACGAAGGCAGACCCCCCCACCAGGTATATAAACAAAAGAAAAAGAAAACCCCGCAAGAGGACAGCGTACCCAAGCGGAACAGAGCCGGCCGCTATGATTGGTAAAGACAAGCTGCACAGTACCCCGCGCCCCACCAGTGCAAACACTGCCCCTTACTCTAAGGCGAACAAGGGAGACAGAACACCCGAGCACACAAAGAGCGGCCGAAAACCAAGCGGTAAACGGCCAAGCAGGGGCAGGACCCAAGGAACTTGTGGAAGGTGGCCCCAAGCCCCAAGGGCAGTACTTACAGGGCACCTAGGGAAGGGAACCCTAGGCGCATGCAGCCCGAGTACTGAAGAATCACACCCGGCTCACGCACCACCTAGAAAACAGACACCACACTCTAGGTACAGTGCTGAAACAACCACTGGAGCCGGAGCACATAACCATTGCCTATAGCATCAGCCGAAGAACTGATGGGTGGATAGCCGGCGTGGGAGGTCTGGGGCTCCCCCTTCCCCCTCCCGGGGAGGGGGGAGCTGCGCAGACAGCGGCGCGGTGACGTATGACGTCATACTAGTTTCCGTGTTTTCTGTTGAAGAGTTCTATTCACTAGTTCGGCTTAGGTAGCAATTTTCACCAGAATAGGGGTTTGTTTTGGAATGCTTACCTTTCTGGATGCTTGACCCGGTCGATGGCAGACATAGAATGCTTCCAACCACACGGGGGTTTCTATAGGCCATTGCTCCCCTTGCCTCTCTGAGGGGGCCAGGTTCTGGCTCGTGGTCCCCGGTAGGCCCTAGAACTCCATACACATGACTGATGCCAAAGTCTGACATTAGCATATCAGCCGGTAAAGCTCCGGGGAGCCGACGGGGCTCCCCCCAGAAAAAAAGAACATTTTGTTGATAAGGAGAACAGCTCCTATTAACTGGAACTGAGGGATAATGCAGTAATAAAGAGATGCAAGCATTAGTCCAATGCACAAAGAAGAATAGTAGTAAGGAGGGTCCACAAAGTGGATATGCAGTTGGTAGGTGTCTTAATAGCATTGCTGAGTAATACATAACAACACAAATAATAATGAATATGTTATTATGCTCTACTGTATTTTGTTATATATCATACAAATACATTACATTGTCCAATTGTAATATCTGTTACTTTCACCAATGTCCACAATTTTTTTTCAGGGGGGGGGGGATTTATTTTGTATTTTTTCTTCTTTTGTTTATTATCTGATTTTGTTGTAACCTCTACATCCTGGAGAGTGCATACCTGTCCGTAAGTATGTGAAGATAGAATTAAATTGGTCAACAAATAAATCAGTCATAACTGGCAGAACTTGGGAATTTGAATTTTTTGGGTGATTTTTTCACAAATTTCAAACTCTAATTTTCTTTGTCTCTTTAGGTTGTTTTGATGATTAGAGACCAGATTAAGGCTTTTTCACTTATATAAAGTATACATCTTTATCCCCTAAATAATTATAATTATCCTTATATTTTTTTTTTTTCGTGGGGAGGGGGGTATTTTTTCTTGACTTCATTCCAACACATATTAACCTACAACTTTCACACATTCGAGTACGAATGCCAAACAATGTTTTAGTAAACATACAATGAAATTAATGAATTAGAACTACCTTATACAGTGTCGTTAACTTCAACTTCCATTTCTCTAAAACTTTACCTTCAGAAAATAAAGTTTCTGGCCGATTCTCACCATTTTTACATATAGTGTGCTCAGCTGCCTGTTCTACAATCTTATTAGAATGGATTTTTTTATAAACCCTAAATGTTTGGAGTTATAAATTTTGTTGTCTGAATTTGGTGCATATTTCAAATGCCATATTGATGATTTTTCTTACACTAAACCAAACTGAAAATCTATATTCTACATCTTCTAAAAATAAAGATCACATACTATTCTGAGAGCATACTGTAATAACAATTGGTGATATTTAATATTATTGCAGTTGATCTGAAAATCTGAAATTTTCAATATTAACACTTTCGCCCGGGCATGACGCAGCATTGCGTCATCCGTTTACTGTCGGTAATTCCGGGGATGACGCAGCATTGCGTCATCCACTTTAAATCGCAGTCTCCGTGGTGTAGTGGTAAGACACTCGCCTGGCGTTCCGCGAGCGCTATGTCATGGGTTCGTATCCTGGCCGGGGAGGATTTACTGGGCGCAATTCCTTAACTGTAGCCTCTGTTTAACGCAACAGTAAAATGTGTACTTGGATGAAAAAACGATTCTTCGCGGCAGGGGATCGTATTCCAGGGACCATAGGATTAAGGACTTGCCCGAAACGCTACGCGTACTAGTGGCTGTACAAGAATGTAACAACTCTTGTATATATCTCAAAAAAAAAAAAAAATAAAAATTAAATTTTATAATTATTTTTAATTTTCTCGTTTTTCAAGTTACGTTGGTGATCATTTAAACAAAGTTGGAACGTTCGCCACGTAGATTATGCACAAAAATTGGAAAGCGTTAGAGCAAGTTTGAGAAATTTAACTTATGACATCATCGGGTTCTGTCGTATTATACGCCATGCGCAGCTTAAGGGTTAAAAATTTTCACACAATGGCCTGCTACAGCTTGATTTGGGTGAAACTTTTCAGATAAGCTTTGCAATTCTTCCCATACTGCACACATTTTCTCAATAGATGAGGAAGGGACATCCTCTACTCCACATCAACAACACTCATACCATTTTCATGTTTACGACTGATCTCTTGTTTTTCTTCTATGGTCATCCACACATGTGTTCTTAGGTTGAACTTTACCACTGACTTTCTTGGGACCCATGGTGTGATATACAATAATTACTTTCATGTTTAATAAACAAAAAAAGCACAAAAATATTGAAATTCGTTACAAGCACAATCGTGACTAAGCGGGCAGCTCTGGTAAACTGAGGCGGGGTTGGCTATGCCACCAGGAACCACATAATCAGTAGACCCATACGCCTATCAACAAAGTCGCTAGTCGAGGCAAACGTCACAAATCAACTCGCATTTTTCAATGAAATTTACGTTGTAACTCAAAAAATTCGTAAGTAGGGGCAGTTGTAAGTCTAGATGCCATTGTATTTCTTATGTTATTTGTCAAGAAAAATCTGGGTTTCATATGTTGATTTTTGGTGTTTACCTATTAGTAAATACGAACAAGTGAAGCCTAGCTCTTAATGCCCCACCTACTGGCCTTGTTGGTGGTCCAGGAACACATCCCCCATTTATAGCATTGCACTATGGAAATCTGGTTCCATGTTACAAAGGACCAAGTTACTAAGGCATTTTCAGAACTTATCCCCTCATAAGTCAAAGATTGCCTGTACTGTATTTGGTAAAAAGCATGTGAAGCCTAGGATACATCAGAGATACCAAATATTTCTATGGGTTTGTGTAAAGCCTTTTATAAGAGTACATTATTGATTACCTACCAGGGTTAAAGCGTACTGGAGCTGGTGAAGTGGCTGGCAGAAGTTCTGATCCAGGTGATGACGGAGGCAGAGGAACCAGTTCACTTGTGTCACTCTGCTTGCTAGGCGTCGAACGTGTGCTGCGACGGCCAGGAGACGACATGATGATTCACTCTTACTATTGACCACCTTTATACAATGAAAGTAGAATACAATATTTCAGGAATTATAGTTTACACTTCCTCTATATAATACACCCAACACAAAAATAACATTTTTCAAAAGCAATATTGCACTGTACAGTAACTGTCACATGTTTAAATTTAATAAAGCAGCATGATGTCCCTGCAATTAGTTAACAATTTTTCTGACGGTCCTGTGGCACAGTGGTCAGCATAATCAAGTCACAGCCGAAAGCGACCTTTGACAAGCCACCAAATTCATGTAGCCATCAAGTCCATTACAGATAATGGCCCTCAGGTAAATAACCAAAAAATTATCATGGAATGTCCCAAAAATAATCAAATAATGTTAGACTTACCTGTTAAAGATTCATGTCTACCTACAGTAAACCATCAAAATTGCTATCTGAAATATGGCAACTAGGATACCAAGAGTAATATCTAATTTTATTTTTTAGCTTTATCTTGCCCCTAGTTAAGCCCCCCCCTTTAGATTATGCAGTTTGGTTCTACAAATATATAAAATTATATATATTATAGGGAGCCGGTCGGCCGAGCGGACAGCACGCTGGACTTGTGATCCTGTGGTCCTGGGTTCGATCCCAGGTGCCGGCGAGAAACAATACGCAGTTTCTTTCACCCTATGCCCCTCTTACCTAGCAGTAAATAGGTACCTGGGTGTTAGTCAGCTGTTATGGGCTGCTTCCTGGGGGTGGAGGCCTGGTCGAGGACCGGGCCGCGGGGACACTAAAAGCCCCGAAATCATCTCAAGATAACCTCAAGATATATAAAATTCTACAGAACATAGATAAAAATATGGAAATGTGCAGAGAAAGGGCACTACCAGGAGAAAGCACCAAGCCATTAAGACTATATAACACAGGGAAGGGATCAGGATCAAGATCAGAATAAGGATTTTGGGACGGGACGATGGGAAGGAATGGTACCCAACCACTTGGACTGTCGGGGATTGAACAGCAACTTGCATGAGGCGAGACCGTCGCTCTACCATCCAGCCCAAGTGCGAAAGGATGGCAGTTAATCCTAGGAATTAGAAACCTCTTGTATGAAGAGAGAATTTACCTGAGGGTCACTAATACTAGTGGCCTTGATGAGGACATGATGCAGGGAGCTTGTCAAAAGTCCCCCCCCCCTTTACACTGATAATCTTTTCCAGTTGTATTCTACAACACAACAGAGTTTTGGCATTTACGCCTTCGGTGGGTATGCGGGTCCATGGGTTTATAATCCTATCGGTGAAATAGCATCTCCTGTTCTCAGTCCTACATTGTGGCTTGTTGAGCTTGAAACCATTGCTCCTCATTTGTGTTACATCTGACCTTTTGAAGCAATTGTCCGGATCAACATCCTCCAAATTGTTCAGTACAGTACTGTATTTTAAAAGTTAAGATGAGATCCGCCCTGTCATGCCTGGTTTGCAGTGTTGTTAGCCCAGTGGTCCTCAACCGTTCCTGATACGAGAGATAAGTTGGCTCTGTAATGATTTTTGTTGCCTGGTGTTGCACCTTCTCCAGAGCAGCTACAGTATATCTTTTTGAAGATGAGGTCTCCATGCCTGGATGCAATAATCCAAGTGATGCACCAGAGACTCGTAAAAATGAATGACTACCTTCTTTTCCTAAAAGGTAAAGGTACGCTTCATTATTTCCAGGGTTTGATTAGCTTTTTTCACTGCCGCTCCCACTTATGCAACTTTCAATGAATAATGGTTTCTGACTCCAAGGTCCTTTTCTTCATCAATCTGCTGCAAGGTAATGCTGCTGATTTGGTAGTTGTGACATAGATAGTTATGTTCCACATATAAGGTCTTGCATTTATCGATATTCAAAAACATTTGCCAGTCTTCTAATCACCTGTGGAGTTCATGTGGATCTCTTTGTAAAGTCTCAAAATCATTTTCACTTCCCACTTTACCATAGATCTTAGTGTCATCTGCAAATTTGATGATGTGGTTTGTAATATTTGCATCTATGTTACTGATGTGTATGACAACAGGGGTTGGCCCCAGAATGGACCCCTACCTGCTTGATGGGGTTCTGGGAGTTCTTCTACTCCCCAAGCCCGGCCCGAGGCCAGGCTCGACTTGGCTTTGGGTGCTAAGTGGGGTGCCCTGTGGCACCCCACTTACCACATTTCCTCAGTCAGATTCATTCCCATTTAGCAAGACCCTTTGTTTTCTTTGTTTTAAATAGAAGCTTAATTTACATTCTTTTGAAAAGCAAAGACTTGATTAAAGTATACAAATGGAAGAAAGGTTATATAATAGGGGATATTAAGACTGGCAAATATATCAGCACAAAACAATGGGCAGAAATTGCATAAGTTTAGATTTATAAAAGGTCTTAACACATACTGGCTTTCGAATTTGATTGTAAGTAGATACAGTAATAATAATAATAATAATAAATCAAAATAATAATAATTTATTCACAAGAAGATACAATGGATTGGTGAGATTACATAAGATTGGTATTTGTACATTCTTCCAAAGCTACTCTCACACTCAGCATTTCAGGCAAGTCCTCAATCTAACATATCAGGCAAGATGAAAAGGTACATTGTAGAAAGGTTTGTTATCAACAAATAACATATAAATTGACAGAGGTGATTACACTGGTAAAGATATACAGTATGTCTTCAGTACTAATATTGGGGAATTGGGAAGTACAAGATACAGAATGAGTTTGAAGCACAAGGTAGGAAACTACTGTATGAGGAGGAAATTAGGTACTTTTTGGTTTTACTTTTGAATAGAGTATGGCTTGGACAATTTTTTAATTCTTCAGAGAGCGAGTTCCAAAGACTGAGTCCTTTTATTTCTATGGAGTGTTTGCACAGATTTAGTTTGATTCTAGGGAAATCAAAGCGATATGGTCATTACTTGAAAGAAAGCGAAGAAATTACTGGGGAAAGAAAAACATATGTTCAGCGGTTCGCATCAAGCACTGCGCGCAACAAGTAGGGATACTTAAAACGTGGGCAGCGGAGGTCATGACCGCTGTTCACCTTCAGTCACTGCTTGCTCCACAAGCAAGAATCCCACCTGCCTCCCATAGACCTCAGCTTTTCATTATATCTATAAGCAGGGGTGCCAACTGGCAAACACAGGGTACACTTTGGACATACCACTCCCTAGCTACACCCTTATCATATAGGAGGGGTGCTCCGCCGGAAACCCCAAAGTGATATGCTATTTACTAGCTGCTGTGTCTCATCTAGTATATAATTATTCAAGAACATGTTTAATGTTACTAAACATAAATTTACACTGCTCAAATGAGTTACAGCAAGAATGTACAATTGATGTGGAAAATGCAAATTGTAATTAACAATGTTTAATTCATCTATTCATAAATGAAATAATAAAGGCACAATTAATTTCTCTCATTTAACCAGAGAAAAATGGAAATGGAAATAATTACATTTATACTTATGTAATACAGTACTTATCTTACATTATACTTATACAGTACATATACGTTTAGTTATACAGAACACTGAATATTTACGTTTGTAATATTTACTTACAAACATAATATTTAAAAAAAAATTATTTAATAAATAAATACCACCATTCTAAGCATGAGTTTTTCCTCCTGTACAGAAAATTATTTCTGGTGTGGTGATCATGGGTTCTATTACACCTATCAAGGAAAAGTTTCAGATCAGGATTAGCATTTAGGAACATGGTTTTATACATGTTAATAGCCCATGATAAGTGTGGAGTGAGTATAAACAGAGGGGCTGTGTGTTGCTTGAAGACGGAGTTTGTTATAGTACTGATAGCAGATTAACCACTGCACTATGCACCTGGAGTTTGTTATAGTACTGATACAGTAGCAGATTAACCACTGCACTATGCACCTGGAGTTTGTTATAGTACTGATAGCAGATTAACCACTGCACTATGCACCTGGAGTTTGTTATAGTACTGATAGCAGATTAACCACTGCACTATGCACCTGGAGTTTGTTATAGTACTGATAGCAGATTAACCACTGCACTATGCACCTGGAGTTTGTTATAGTACTGATAGCAGATTAACCACTGCACTATGCACCTGGTTTCTGCAAAAACTTCTTAGTGCAATTGTCAAGGACATATTTAAAAAAACATTAAAATATAGCCTAATTAAAAAAAATAGCACAACTCTCAGAGTGCATAAAGGCGCTTTGCGCAGTGCAGTGGTTAATGTATAATAAGCTAATTTCTGATTTAGGGAAAAGTACATACATACAAAATGAGTAACAGGCAATATTAACTTAACCAGGTACTTAATCCAAACATCTTTATCATTGTGTTCATTGCTGTCTTCTTTTATGTGCTAGCCATATGCTGTATTGTGCCTACTAATTTTTGCTAAACTACCATTCAAGCTGTCATTGCAATCAATCTGAGCTACCTATGTGCTTTAATATACCTACAATTTTCTCTCATCTTTTATTTTTTTTCTTGCAATGTAACTTATCATTTTTATAAATTTTGCTAGTATTTACCTACTTAAAATTTTCTTAGATTAAGGATCTGCCTGAAACGCTGCATATACTAGTGGCTTTACAAAAATGTAATTACTATGCTATGTATCCTCACAATCCCAAAGTACCTTCTTGTATATATGTAACGGGGGGTGGGGGAAATAGCTCTATCTTGTCCATTATTCCACCCCCAGTTAACTAACGAGGCCGGGGGAAACAGCTCTCTCTAGTCCGTTCTCCCGTCCTCAGTTAGCTAACTATTCTAGAGCACCTCCAGAATTCCTAAGGCAGCCTCTCTCGTTCAACACCTTGTAAACCTAGGTATTTGACTACCTAGGTGCTAAGACTACAAGGTGCCGTAACTGGATCAGCTACCCGAAACTCTAGAGAGAACTCTAGAATACTGAATCATTGCCACAAACGTATAAGAGAAAACGAAAGGAAAGAAATGAATAGTGAAGTAATTAGTGAGGGTTTGGGGTGAGAGGCAGAGAGGTGGGAGGGGCAAGGA